GACTCATTGTCACGTTTCTGCACCAACAGAGACTTTTCTGGATCCGGTACTATGTTGCTGAGCCTCTCTAACCTACCGGCTGACGCAATATTGCACGGAGATTCAGGTGAAAGAAAAGTCTCATGGAGCTGGAGCGAAAATGTCCCGATTTTAAGAGTCGCTGTTCCTTGTTGCCATAGCTCTCTAGTACCGACAGCCTGATCGAACTTGAATGGTTTAGGGGAGCGATTCACTTCACTAAACATGGAACGGTGTGGGACGAAGTGGTGCGATGCACCTGTGTCATAGAGTGTAACGGATTCATTCATTCGAGATGATGCAGCAATTATCACCCCTCCTGAGTCTGACTCACTATCGTCTCCTACGCTATTGACTGAGGCCTGTTTGCCATTGCCCCTGTTTACCCCAGAACGGTTATTGCTTCCCTGTGCCAATTCTGGGTGTAGACGATAACAATACTTATTCTTGTGCCGATGTTTGCACCTCTTGCAGTATGCTTCTGGGTCTACGTTGATACTGTTGGGTACGACCGCAGCCACCGTGTTGGGTGTCTGGGTCCGATTGCCTGCTACAGATTGCAATGAAGACATCAGAGTTCGCAGTGGTGCATACTTGTTGTCGGAATCGAATGCTCTTGTATCATGCCAAACATTTAGCCATTCGATCCTCTTCGTTCCCATCACAAAAATGGCTGATGCTTGTCCGTCACCTATGCGATACCCAGAGGCTAACGGCCGAGTAGAAATTGCATCGGCCGCGTTGTTGACACTCTGGTATGCTGCTAAGAAACGGTCAACATAATCATCAGCAGTACTAACAAACCTGATGCTCAACAGTGTTTCGAGTGCTGCAGCATATGGTGCAGTTGCAGTTTCATTCCTGGTCCCGGCTACAGTGTCGTAGAGTTCTTTGGCCGTTAGGTTGTCATAATGTTGGGGGCAGATGATGATATTTTTTGCTTCGATTTCTCCCAAAGTCCAGCACTCGAATTCATCCAGGTACTTTTCCGTGAGTTTATCGGCATCTTCGGCGTTTGGGCTCCCTAATAAAGGATCTGTAGGGATGTTGACTGGACGGATCCCAGGCATGTCATGAAAGACGTGTCCCAGGACGTTTTTGCGTCCAAGTTTAGCACGCAATGCCATTCTCCAAGCTATAAATGAGATACCATTACCAAGAATTTCCTTTGGATCAGTCATTTTCATGATGCTTAATCTGGGTTTTCACAATGGTTAGCTAACTCCTGTAAGTACGTGGATGCGCCGGGCTCATAACCTGTTATGATAGGTCTATGATTCGGGTGTACATACAATTTATGGGAGTTCGCTGCTAGTGATCACAGATGTGCTGCTGGGCCGGATAGGTCAATAAGAGGAGTGGAGAATGATCTCTGTAGAATGAGGAAAGACTGTATTGCTTGCTCTATCTACTGTGGAGGAAAGCTCTCTACTTATAGTCCCTAGACTATTGCTTACTAATTATACTAACTCAACGAAGCAGGAGCAAAGAGAGCAAATGCATGCAGTCGCGTGACCATCATAACTGGAGCTGTGCACTGTAGCTATGTGGGTCTAGGCACAACAAGTTCCCATTGCTACAAACCAAGCGAAAAACCTTTGTCCGAAACAAGTAGCTCCAAGCTTTGTAAACCTAACACCTTAAACTCTATATCTGACATTAATCGCTTCGAAACTATCCACAGTTTGACACCCGCCTCCCAGAATAACCTCCAGTCCAGAGTTTTGTTGGAAAAAGTGGAGTTCTTATGCAAAATCTACTCGCAAACCCCTCAGCAATTGGTGACATTCATGTGGATTCTCTAACTTTGTCTTCAAACTGCCCTTCCCTTCTCCTACCGTTGAGGAGATCCGAGAATCCATCCTATGGGCTGGCTGTTGTAATCTAACGCTTTTCATACTCGAACTTTATGGTGAGCATTGGTTGTGTAGCACGTGATGCCATGCGGGGGGAGGAACAGGATGGCAAGAGCCGCTAGCCAGACCTAAGCGATCTGGCCCACTTGTAGATGGAGAAATCCCATCTACATAGAGTGAATAAAAACAACCCTTACTAGTACGATAACCATAGTGAGGAACTCAAACATCCATATCCCAGTTCTCTCATACAACGTGACCCATAAACCTCTATCTCATCTCTATCATTTAACGACAAAGCTTCAACACTGGCAATACCGCTCTTAGTGCAGACGGAATACCCAGGGCCATTATTTGGCACGCATGGCCTTTGACTGAACAACAAGTACTGTGAGTGTTCAGCGCGTGTCTCTTGATTGAGCACCATCCTGATTGCTTTCGGAAGGCCATTCTGGTGATGATTCAAAAGCCGAACAAGACAGACTTCTCTTCGCCTCGATATTACCGCCCAGTTGCACTCCTTTTTGTACTAGGTAAAGATTTTGTCAAAAATCTGATAGCTTGGAACCTACTCAACACAGTAATGAAAATCATGGGATGATCAAGATGTTTAAAGCTCCAACTTGAGATCTTTTGATCTTCAACACATGCAATATATTTCACATGTAATTTTGGGAAACGAGAAGATAATCTCTCCCCGAAATAGTTTCAGATGGGTATATAGCATCACTGCTGAAGAAAAGTTGAGGAGCAGAGATGTCATCAATACAAGTTTACTTTACATTTTTCATTTGACCCTCAGTGTCTTACAGATTTAGAGAGACTTATTGCAAAAAAAAGTGGCTTGAAATGCTGTCCGGCACAAGGCGGTATCGAGCCAACAATTCGGAGCTCTACTAGGTAGATAGGCTGTTGATCTAACTACCTGCCTTACCCATGATAAAGAGAAGGCACTTTATGAGAGTTCTACAGCCAGTATGCTCACCTTAGATGTCAAGAGAGCCTTTGACGCCGTAAATCTGAGACGACTTGTCCGCTGTCTACGAGAGCAAGGTCGATCTGAAAACCTGGTGCTCTGGGTGGAATCGTTTGTCTCACGCCGTACGGTGTGTGTCTGTTTCGATGGAGTAATAGGCCTCCCAAAACTTGTGGATTGCCGTCTTCCACAAGGCTCACCGGCCTCGCCCATCCTTTTCATGCTCTAAATTTCCTCGCTATTCAAGATGGGAATGAAGAGGGAAAGATTCGGCTATTCAGGTGATATTACTCTCCTTGAGACAGGGCTTAACCTCCAGAGTAACTACACAGCTCTCTCACTCGCTGGTGGAAGCAGTAGACTTGGGGGAAAGGGAAGGCATTACTTTTGACCCAGAAAAACCGGAGCTAGAACACTTATCTCGAAATCGGGCTGATCGCAACCCTCTGTCAACCTCTTCTGTCTCCTACAGAGATATAAGAGTCTCTGAGAATCCCACTTAACCCTACACGCGCTGGTTAGGGGTTCACTTTGATCGGACTCTCTCAATTGAATGGCATGCCCGCATCCTAGCTGAGAAGGCTCTTAAAGTTGCCAACGCACTCCGTTCTCTCAGCAACCCCGTCCGAGGAACGCCCCTCCAACTTATCCGTCAAGCCCTCTTTGCTTGCACATTTCCCATCGCTTACTATGGCGCAGAGACCTGGTGGCCTGGCCGCATCAGATACAGCAATAAACATGTCTAGAATCGAGTCGAAGGACACCTATCCATCTTCCGCAAGGTAATTCTAACGGGAGCTAGAGCTATCCTACCTGTATATCGGACTACGCAAATCCCTATTCTATACCGCGAATCAGGCCCCCCTCCTCCTGATTTAGAGCTGGACTCTAAATCAAAATTTGCGGCACTGAGCATCCAATGCCTGGACCCTAGAAACCCACTCCGGCATAGAGCCATATGGGTCCAGGTACACAATCGTCGGGTCTCCCGCATTTATGGCTGGGCTCTCCAAAGTCCGAACACTTAAATGGTCGAGCTTCTGATTCAGCCGCCATGGCTCAAAAGAGAGACATGGTATAATAGTGTAAGGCGAGTTACACACCCTCTTATTAATTTCCCTTTTGGCTTCCCTTTTAGAGATCTAGTAGCCTACAAAGATGGCGCTCGATCTGAGATAGCAGAGTCTCCCAGGACAGGCGGTGAAATCGTTAACTTTTAAGCTGGCCAGATGGTATACCGCGAGAGTCTGTTCCTTGACTCGACGCTGTTACCTTTCGACACAGAAGTGACCTCCGAGAAAGAAGCCCTCAAAGCTGCGCTTTACCTACCAACAGCACGCTTCTCAGAAAATCTTTGGATACTCACAGATAAATTTAAGGTAGCTTGCCTTTTATTTCAGTCCCCAATTTACTCGTTGCAAGTGGTTATTTCAACAAATACAGGTCCTCTCCCGAGACTTACCTCTTCACACTAAGCCTCCAAAAATCCCTCCCGGAAAATTCCAGGCTTATTGGATCCCAGGCCACTCTAACATATTAGGTAATAATTTGACCGACGTCTCTACCCGAGAGGGGCTTTCAGAACCCCCGCCTATACTCCGTTGGTGCGTTTCTTTTGAAACCGCAAAAATTGTATCAAAGCAGAAATATTAACGTCTATGAAAGATTGCTGAGATAAACATGCCCCAGTCTCCTATAGGGAGTTTGCTATCGACTCATACTTTCGTCACCCTGAGGAACTCTCCCCAGTCAAACTATGTCACTCTAGACTACGCGCTGTCCGCCCAGGGCATGGTCACTTTGCAGAATACCATCACCGGCTCAATTACGACGGCGCTAGTCTACATTATGGCTGAAGACAACTCAAAGCCCCATTGCACTTCCTAGAGTGCCACCTAATCACACACAGACCCCCTCGAGCTCCAGAATCTTCAAGGGACTCAAATAAATTTTTGCTAGGAGCCCGGGAAGGGGTCCTACATGTAGCAAAGTGGCTTTCTCTTTCTAAGTTTTACACAGGGACCTTCCCCTAGGAATCTCAGAGAAGGAATAAATAGGTCTTAAGTTCTGCCTCAACTTGAGCTTTACGTTATGGATGGATGGTTAAGTAATTCTGAATAGATCTATTAGTAGTATCCCGAGAATGTATGTCATACATCAAAGGAGTGAAGAGCCTCGGCGACTAGCTGCAAATGTGTAGATGATACGCTACACGCTATCATGTACTTAAAAAATTGCCTTGCACTCTTAGTGGGAAGTAACAAGGGCGAAGCCACCAGGGCAGTAAGTACTGGAGTCCATGCCTCTAGTTAGTTTAATGGTTAGCAGGGACCTAAGCCAAGACTAAATGGTCCCGATAGACGAAAAATTGAAAACAATCAAACAAAAGAGAAATCTGAAAGTTCGAAAATTCTCTTTTTCTATTCCTCTCAGACTCGTCGCATACATCTTCGAATCATGATTGAGCTTCTGGCATTTTCACTATACCTCCTGTTCCCAAAAAGCGCCCCAACGCCACGATGGACAACACGAGAGTCTGCCCGAGGGCTCTCGCAAAATTACCTGGCCTTGCCCAGTCTCCGAAATGCGCGGAGATGGGTCAGGCCGTTTCAGAAGGGAAGGAAAAACTCCTTCCAATCGTCAATGAGCCCGACAATGACGTGATTTGGTGTGTTGAAACTGTTGAGGAAATTCTGCAACGAGCCTCCGTCCCCCACGGGATTGGAGAATAGTCAATATCTCCTCTGACCGAGCAAAAACTGTCGGAAAAAGCTGCAACGAAAGCAGTTTCTACAAAAGAGTCGCATACTCAAGCTGCCACTAAAGCAGAATTCCCTCTAGAATTTCGACCAATTCTCGATGCCAAAGAACGACTCGCCGCCGAAACAGCGGCAAATCTAGCACTCTGTTCCACCGCCATCTCTGGCGTCGAAGCCACCTTCCTCCCTTTGACCAACGGGTCAAATAGACAATTTGTAGACTCTATGGGGGTCTATATACGCACAGCCATTGCGCAATACATGGCCTCGGACTCGACCTCCACGCCACCTGACCTTCCTCCTCGCCCGACGAACCTAAACCCAAGGGCTCCCGACGCCAGTAGCACACCAATTCCCACCGATCTAGTGCAGACGTCGAAAAGCACCTGGGTCACGGTGGCTAGAAATGGACTGCGATAAAAAGCAGTCCTGTCGAACCTTTTGAGCTGGTTCGGAAGCTGTTATGATTGAGACTAGAGGTACCTGGAAGGATAGCTCGCACAAGAGCTTTCAGTTGAAGTAATTTAAAAAGATGTAATTGTCTGTCTTTCTTCCTCTTTCTCTCAGCTTATATATCTACACGTATCTACTACCTGACATATGATGATAATATCTTGAAATAGCTTCCTTACATCACAGGACACAATCCAAACATGTTGTAGCCAAGATCTAATCCTAAAACGACTCAATATCAGTCCACCACGTCTGTTACGCGGACGCCCAGTATTTTCTAGCTGAAAATTATCCAAAACGCTAAGGTTTTCCTAAGGCAATCACAAATTATGTCGGGTACTAGCTTGGCATATTATTCTGACAATAATGTTACGATCATGTTAGAAGAATGGAATTTACATGAATCACGAAAAATTAATTCAGGAATACGAATTCCACCGGGTTCTGATACTAGTCTGACAAGTCCCAACTGTAAAGGCTGTGCTGAAACATGCGGCAAAGGCCTTGAAGAAAGACGCCCCGAAGGCGAAAGTCGACAAGCGACTGTTCCTTCGCCTAGAGAAGGATCACCCGTGGCTAAAATAGTCTACCAGTATTGTGAGAAGAAATTTGGAGTCCATATTCCACTACTTAAACGATAAAATAACCTCGTTTCATCGGGTAAAGACTGGCTTTGTTATGTTAACAAAGAACGATAAAAAAGACAAGAGATGTATCAGAGCAGCATGTAGACAGCAGAGCGGAGACATGGGTCAAAAAGGTGGTGTTCAGGCTAAAGGGTGCCGTCCTGCAGTATGCATGAGATAAGTGCAAAACTGTCCGGCTAAAAGGCCAAACCAGAATCATAGAACAATAGAAACTGGTTATCTCCAAATATATAGATTATATAGAAGGCAATCCTGACAAGATGCTAGATGCCTCTTCGAAGCTGGCGAGTAAAAAGGCCAAACTCGAAGCATCTTCGGAGCTTGTCACCTTATAGATATCGAACGTAACCGTAAGTATAGTTACAGAGCACGGCCCTAGAGCAACCAATGCCGAATGAGTCTCTCATGCGATCGTTCTTACGAGCAGCGTGAGACCAATTCAGGTCCGACAACATTGGACGTGTCGACCTGGGGCGCCGTATCGCAACTGGTATGCCCTCTTCGACCGGGATTCTGCCCCTCGTGCGGGCTTCAGCTTCGTCGACCAATCGAACAGTGCAAACGCTGTTTGGGCTTCCACGCCTCCCGTGGCTTCTCCCGCGTAGATTCGCCACCTCATGCAAGGGAAGTTCACAGAGATGGCTCGAGCTAGGGCCGCAGCAAAAAAGGCCGAAGAGGCGATCATCGCCGCAGCGAATGATGTCTCGATTGCCGAGGCAATAGGTTTCAGAGTGCTGGAATCTGAAGAAAAATTTTAGGAATATAGCGACCTCGACGATGTCCCTTTTGGGGCATTTACTAACCATGAGTAGGATTCAGGCTGGATCGAAGTTACCTGCTAATATATCTCTTGCTTTCAGCGGAGATGGAGTAAATTCTTCATTTGCAAGGTGTGACGGGCGAGGGAATGTGCGAGAAGTGCATTGCTTGGGTCCAATATGGAGGAATCTTCTGTCTTTCAGAGCTGTTTTGATTTTTGGGGGTTTTCCTTTCGGTTTTAAACTGCCGCACCTTTAACAACGATTCATGAGGTTGGAATGAGTTAGGCTGTAGGAAAAATTACAGGGTGCCTTGCCAGATCCACCAGTCCTCCACTCATTGTGGATATAAAGCTTTAGCCAAGGACCTATTGTCACAGGGCGAGGGTACAAAGCACGAGTTACATATCATATTTGAGTTGTGCGATGAGAATGGAAGAGAATATCTAGATACACGAAGGTCTTGAAACGCTCAGTTATCGCTTAACCTTATACCACGCCAACCACCATCCTACTACCGTGACACCTATTGATTTAAAAATAAGGGGAAATTGATGAAAACTTGCCCTACCAGCCCATTCCACCCCTCAAAATCACATATCAAATATCTTCAAATCAAACTCTCATGTTATCGCGCCACTCTACCTTAAAATGGCAGCGGTAGCCCCAAGATCCGCGAAAAACACGAGAACTGTGTTAACCACAGAAACTGGGAAACACAACCAACAGACGCGTCTGGAGATGCAAAATAATATGCTGCGAATAGCAAGAAACGTGGTTAATAAAAAATGAATGAAAATGGACTGGCGCCGAGCACCTCCGATCTAGGCATGATGGAAATCGACATCGTCGCGCAGATGGAAGAACACGGTTAAACTGACATCGAGATTGTTGGGATGAAATAACAATTGTTATATTAATAAAGACTTAATGAAAGAATAAGAGAAAAAAATATCATTCTTCACGAAAAGCGGCACCACGTTCCACCAACGTTATTTCATCGTTTTTATTATTGCGTTCATCTTCATCGATCCCTCTTACCTGATTCCCCGAATTTTTTTCGTTGCGCTTCGGCATGGCGAGTTGAGGAGCCAGAAAGGTGGATTTTGCGGCTGAAAAATTTTCACCGCACCAACACAACCAACAATGGGCAGCGGAACAGCCGCAATTTCGGATGTAGATCTTCTTGCGACACCTTCAGGCGTCAATATGGATTTTTTAAAGGCAGTTGGGATATATCTAAGTAAGGTCCGAGGCAGACTGGTGAAGTCAGGTACTTACATATCTGCGGCGCCGATGGTGGAAATAGATGAGGCTCTTGACGCCTTCAAAGCCCACATTCAGATGTTACAATCTAAGATGTCGGCAAAGCCAATGGAGAAAAGGATGCTTTCCTTAGAGAAGGCTATTACGAAGAGTCCTGAGGAGCCGTCACGCAAGGCGGCTCCTCAGTCGGCACAAACAATGGGAGGACGACCAACCTATGCCTCCGCCAGGCTCGAAATAGGCTCGAAGGTGTTGAACACATTGGAAAGCGTTATCCTGCCACTGAAAACGACAGATAATAAGTGTCTGAATATTTCCTAAAGATTCTTTGTTTGAGGTAACTCAATAACAATAGTTTCATTTATTTGTATCTATCTTCATTTGTGACGGAGAGCCAGGGCCTTATACACTCGTTACATGATATCTGCTTACATAGCTATTACTGATAATTACTAATTTGTTGTTACATCATCATAATCATTATTATCGCCCATACCCCAGCATTCTTGCTTTATGCCCATCCAAGTAAAACTTGTATCCTATTATTCGACAAAAATGAATATTTAGACGCGATGAACGTGTGCCTATGGGGCGCCCTCTCCCACTTCCTACGCACTGGAATCACACCAGTGCCGACAAGTATGCCCCTACGCCCCACCGGCCAGCAGCAGCGATACCCCAGATAACGTCAACCTGGGCAACTATAACCCGGAGAGGGCTACCCAACTAGTTGACGCCAGCGAGGATTAGCCATGCCCCAAAAATGCCGCGTTGGTCGACCAAGAAATTGGCCAAGACGGCCCCTTCGTCCTCACCGGACAACCGACTACTCCTCCAGCTAGATTCAAAACATCTGTGGTGAAATCTTTCGCTAGCTGGCATCAAAGAGGTTATGACGCAGCTCACCAATGCGCCACAAGCGGCCATCGAACACGCACACCGCGTCTCAACTAGCATCACGCTCCGAGCGAAGGATCAGGATTCTCGCCAGTTCCTATTGAACGCGGCAGAATCTTTCCTCCCCATTGGAGGGAGTTCGGAGGAGACCCCTGAATTTGTGGCGCTCCGGATCTCGACAGTCCTCGTCGCCATCTGACATCAACCGCGACAGACTGTGCAGCAATGCAAACGCTGCCTGTAGCTCCACGGAACGCGTGATTGCTTTCGTGCCTCAGCTTGCTGAAACTGCACCTCCACAATATACTCGACAGACGAGTGCCATACGCACACTAAGTCCGGGTCTGTAAGCAGAGAGCAACTGGCCACCATTCGCATGGCTAGCCAACACGATCTAGCGGTAGTGGTGAGTGCTAAAGCTGCTGTCTTTCGCGCTGAGGCA